TTTTCTTACATATTTACACATTTACACATGTACTTACACCAAAAAGGACAAGTCTGTCTCCTAATCAATTCTGTGTTGACTGATAATTGACTATATTATGCTTTCACAGAATTGTGCAACATACAAACAATGAATGCTTCACTAAAACTACCCTTAAACAGGACTGAATTAAATGTCTGAAACATAAACCATTTTCCCAGATGTAGCCAGGTAGAAATGAAAGGCAACTGACCTTTGAGCACGAGGATGATCAGTGCACAATCCATGAGTGAAAAGTTTAGAAAGGCACAGTGTATTAATTTATCCGGTGCAAAGTTTTTTAAACTTTATCCTTTATTGTACATATTCACTTACTGTATATAATGTTCTCTGTTTGCACAGTCTAGGAGTGCTTCAGGGCACATTCACTGCGTGTTGTACTCGTATAACCATGCATGTGGCAAATAAAGAATCTTGAATCTTGTAGTCCAAGGAACGACTACATTTCAGATGGCTCATCTTTCAGTCTTTTGCTGTTGTTTAACAGTGCTTACTTATAATTTTAAAAGAGGTTTCCCATAGATCAGAATAAAATTTAAGATAAAAGTAAGTAAAACAGACCCATCTTTGGCAAATATTTTGGTGTGGATGGATTGCAGGTTCTTTCATAACTAGCCTGGATCTATTTGTATATTTCCCTTTGGCTCAGGTTAAATAAGATAGAGCTCTGCTTGTACTCTCTCAGACCATAGAGAACAGTGAAGCTTATAACCAAATCCCCAACCAATTTAATAGACAATGGCAAAGTGGTGACACATCTAAATCATGACCTCTTCTACTGTTAAGGTACAAAGGATAAAGATGTACAATGCTCTTTCCCAGTTATACCCCCAAAAAAGAATTTATTTATTTATTTTTGATTCTGTTTAGGGAAAGTAATTAAAAATATAATTTTTCTATAACAGTACAGATCCAGTCACTTTCTCTTAATCTCATGTCTTCTCCTCTGGTGTCATGGCTGAACAGGCTTAACCTTGAGGAATGAAAACTGTGGCAATAATCCATATCGTCTGAAAAACTAGATTGGGACAACAACAATAAAAAACGTCACCCACGCACATAATAGAGAAAATGTTAATGTTACCACTAGACAAAAAAATCTAAAGACTACTTAAAAGTAAATTTTAGGAAGCTGATAAAAAAGAAAAGCAAACACAGGGAAATCTCACCTCCTTCATCTTATCCTGTATATCCAAGTCTGACAGCTGAACAAATGACCTTAATTTGATCTTCATTCCAACAACATAATCTGTTCACATAAATAAAAACAAGTTACTTGAAATAATAACATGAAATAGTCAGTGTGACTTCATTACAGTACACAAAAGCTATACTATACCTACATGACCCATTCCAATTTGATGTTACAGATATTATTATTTATGAAAAATTTATTTAGAAGAAATTTGGAGAAAAATTTCTACTATTCAAATGCCTCTTTGTTTACCGAGAACATTTTTATCTGACATTTTATTATGACATTTTCTACATAACAGTGTCTTCTTTCATTTTAATATTAGGATTAATATTAGGATTAAATTTAAACTAATTCCTAGTGTTTAAAATCTGGCCAAATGAATCCAAACACATGACACATAATGAAGTAAATTAAGCACTGGATAAAAATATGAAATTCATCTCATCAGACAGAAATATTTTTTAATAAAAACTAAATATAATACAAAATAATAACAAAAAATATAAACACTTACTAGGTCCTTTGTAGAAAGCAGAGTTTATTGTGTGTTCACACAGAAAAATAAAGAAAAAAATAAACATTTAAAATTAAATAAATATTTATTTGACATGTCTTCATAGTGTAAATCAAACATTGCATTGCATTAATGAATCAAATGAAAAATCAAAAGAACAATACTAAAGGATAAGGATGGTTAAAGACACGGATGAGCGGCTGAAGGAAGAAGTGTTACAGAAAGGAAATTAAAACCCACAAAAATAGTAATTTTCCTTTAATTTATCCTACATTTAATTCAGTTTGAATGATTGCTGATTGTACCTTTTACCAAGTACATCAAGAAATACTGAATTACAAAACTTAATCATACAAAAGCATATATTATGATCTGCAAAATCACAGCAATTGTCCTCAGAGGTAGACGAGAGCTTTTTGCTTCACTACTGTAGTGTCCCTAACACTATTTTTGAAACATATTAACTCACCAGTGACTGCAGTAAGTTCACAAATACTTTAGAATCGATTTTTTACTAGTTAACAAGCCTAATGTTTGACCTATTTTTCATTTTAATCATTAACTTGTTAAAAAATTGCAATGCAGTTCGAAAATATTGATTAACTCACCAGTGACTGCAGTAATGCTGACTCCACTGCTTCTGACGTTCTCAAACACAGAGTAGAGAGTGAATGTGTATTGAGTTCCAGCAGTGAGATTGAGATGCTGGTTTCATTTTGTCCTGATGATATGAGGTTTTGTGCATTTGAAGGAGCTAAACGAAAAAATGAGAAAAATAAAGTAAGTTCAAAAAGTCTTTCGAATTGATTTTTCTCTTCTTAATAACACTTAATAATTTCATTGTTGATTTTAATCAAAAATATGTGATAACATTGTAATGCAGTTTAAATAATTTCATTAACTTACCAGTGACTGCAGTAATACTGACTCCAGAGCTTCTGACGTTCTCAAACACAGAGTAGAGAGTGAATGTGTATTGAGTTCCAGCAGTGAGAGATGAGACTGTGTGATTCTACTGGTCCATTTCCAGCTGGTGCACTGATGCTTGTCTCTGTACCATTAAACTGGAGAACAAAGCTGACATTGTTGTTGACTTTATTCCACTGCAGAGTGATGCTGGTTTCATTTTGTCCTGATGATATGAGGTTTTGTGCATTTGAAGGAGCTAAATGAAAAAATGAGAAAATAAAGTAAAAGTTTCAAAAATTCTTCAAATTGATTTCTGCCACATTAACAACACGTAAAATTTGTTTTGAATTATTATTATAGTTTTTGAAAATATATTGAATATATGCAGTTTAAAAATTGATTAAATACCAGTGACTGCAGTAATGCTGACTCCACTGCTTCTGACGTTCTCAAACACAGAGTAGAGAGTGAATGTGTATTGAGTTCCAGCAGTGAGAGATGAGACTGTTTGATTACTGGTCCATTTCCAGCTGGTGCACTGATGCTTGTCTCTGTACCATTAAACTGGAGAACAAAGCTGACATTGTTGTTGACTTTATTCCACTGCAGAGTGATGCTGGTTTCATTTTGTCCTGATGATATGAGGTTTTGTGCATTTGAAGGAGCTAAATGGAAAAATGAGAAAATAAAGTAAGTTTCAAAAATTCTTCAAAATTGATTTCTCACTAGTTAAAAACAGTAAAAAATTATACTTTTGAATTATTATCAGTAGTTTTGTGAAAATATTGTATTGCAGTTTAAATCAATTGATTAACTCACCAGTGACTGCAGTAATGCTGACTCCACTGCTTCTGACGTTCTCAAACACAGAGTAGAGAGTGAATGTGTATTGAGTTCCAGCAGTGAGAGATGAGACTGTGTTGATTTCACTGGTCCATTTCCAGCTGGTGCACTGATGCTTGTCTCTGTACCATTAAACTGGAGAACAAAGCTGACATTGTTGTTGACTTTATTCCACTGCAGAGTGATGCTGGTTTCATTTTGTCCTGATGATATGAGGTTTTGTGCATTTGAAGGAGCTAAATGAGAAAAATGAGAAAATAAAGTAAGTTTCAAAAATCTTTCGAAATTGATTTCTCGACTCGTTAATAACACGTAATAAATTTACTTTTGAATTTTATCAAGTATTTGATAACTATTGTAATGCAGTTTAAATAATTGATTAACTCACCAGTGACTGCAGTAATGCTGACTCCAAGCTTCTGACGTTCTCAAACACAGAGTAGAGAGTGAATGTGTATTGAGTTCCAGCAGTGAGAGATGAGACTGTTTGATTACTGGTCCATTTCCAGCTGGTGCACTGATGCTTGTCTCTGTACCATTAAACTGGAGAACAAAGCTGACATTGTTGTTGACTTTATTCCACTGCAGAGTGATGCTGGTTTCATTTTGTCCTGATGATATGAGGTTTTGTGCATTTGAAGGAGCTAAATGGAAAAATGAGAAAAAAGTAAGTTTCAAAAATTCTTCAAATTGATTTCTCACTAGTTAAAAACAGTACAAAAATTATACTTTTGAATTATTATCAGTAGTTTGTGAAAACATTGTATTGCAGTTTAAATCAATTGATTAACTCACCAGTGACTGCAGTAATGCTGACTCCACTGCTTCTGAGTTCTCAAACACAGAGTAGAGAGTGAATGTGTATTGAGTTCCAGCAGTGAGAGATGAGACTGTGTGATTCACTGGTCCATTTCCAGCTGGTGCACTGATGCTTGTCTCTGTACCATTAAACTGGAGAACAAAGCTGACATTGTTGTTGACTTTATTCCACTGCAGAGTGATGCTGGTTTCATTTTGTCCTGATGATATGAGGTTTTGTGCATTTGAAGGAGCTAAATGAGAAAAATGAGAAAACAAGTAAATTTCAAAAATTCTTCAAATTGATTTCTCCCACTAGTTAAAAACGTAAATTGTTTTTGATTTACTTATCAGTATTTTGTGAACATTATAATGTAGCAGTTTAAACAATTGATTAATTACCAGTGACTGCAGTAATGCTGACTCCACTGCTTCTGACGTTCTCAAACACAGAGTAGAGAGTGAATGTGTATTGAGTTCCAGCAGTGAGAGATGAGACTGTTTGATTCACTGGTCCATTTCCAGCTGGTGCACTGATGCTTGTCTCTGTACCATTAAACTGGAGAACAAAGCTGACATTGTTGTTGACTTTATTCCACTGCAGAGTGATGCTGGTTTCATTTTGTCCTGATGATATGAGGTTTTGTGCATTTGAAGGAGCTAAATGGAAAAATGAGAAAAAAAGTAAGTTTCAAAAATTCTTCAAAATTGATTTCTCACTAGTTAAAAACAGTCAAAAATTATACTTTTGAATTATTATCAGTAGTTTTGAAAATATGTATTGCAGTTTAAATCAATTGATTAACTCACCAGTGACTGCAGTAATGCTGACTCCACTGCTTCTGACGTTCTCAAACACAGAGTAGAGAGTGAATGTGTATTGAGTTCCAGCAGTGAGAGATGAGACTGTTTGATTACTGGTCCATTTCCAGCTGGTGCACTGATGCTTGTCTCTGTACCATTAAACTGGAGAACAAAGCTGACATTGTTGTTGACTTTATTCCACTGCAGAGTGATGCTGGTTTCATTTTGTCCTGATGATATGAGGTTTTGTGCATTTGAAGGAGCTAAACTGAAAAATGAGAAAAATAAAGTAAGTTCAAAAAGTCTCTTCAATTGATTTCTTCATAACACTTAAAATTACAGTCAATTATCTTTATGAATTATATCATATTGTGATAATATTGTAATGCAGTTTAAATCAATTCGATTAACTCACCAGTGACTGCAGTAATCTGACTCCAGATGCTTCTGACGTTCTCAAACACAGAGTAGAGAGTGAATGTGTATTGAGTTCCAGCAGTGAGAGATGAGACTGTGTGATTCACTGGTCCATTTCCAGCTGGTGCACTGATGCTTGTCTCTGTACCATTAAACTGGAGAACAAAGCTGACATTGTTGTTGACTTTATTCCACTGCAGAGTGATGCTGGTTTCATTTTGTCCTGATGATATGAGGTTTTGTGCATTTGAAGGAGCTAAATGAAAAAATGAGAAAAACAAGGTAAAATCAAAAATTTGTAGAAATTGATTTCTCGCCACTTAACAACACTGAAATTTGTTTTTATTTTTATCTTAATCAATGATATGTGAACCATTATAATGGAGTTTTAATAAATTGACTAAATTACCAGTGACTGCAGTAATGCTGACTCCACTGCTTCTGACGTTCTCAAACACAGAGTAGAGAGTGAATGTGTATTGAGTTCCAGCAGTGAGAGATGAGACTGTGTGATTTACTGGTCCATTTCCAGCTGGTGCACTGATGGTTGTCTCTGTACCATTAAACTGGAGAACAAAGCTGACATTGTTGTTGACTTTATTCCACTGCAGAGTGATGCTGGTTTCATTTTGTCCTGATGATATGAGGTTTTGTGCATTTGAAGGAGCTAAACGAAAAAATGAGAAAAATAAAGTAAGTTCAAAAAGTCTTTCGAATTGATTTTTCTCTTCTTAATAACACTTAATAATTTCATTGTTGATTTTAATCAAAAATATGTGATAACATTGTAATGCAGTTTAAATAATTTCATTAACTTACCAGTGACTGCAGTAATACTGACTCCAGAGCTTCTGACGTTCTCAAACACAGAGTAGAGAGTGAATGTGTATTGAGTTCCAGCAGTGAGAGATGAGACTGTGTGATTCAATGGTCCATTTCCAGCTGGTGCACTGATGCTTGTCTCTGTACCATTAAACTGGAGAACAAAGCTGACATTGTTGTTGACTTTATTCCACTGCAGAGTGATGCTGGTTTCATTTTGTCCTGATGATATGAGGTTTTGTGCATTTGAAGGAGCTAAATGGAAAAATGAGAAAATAAAGTAAGTTTCAAAAATTCTTCAAAATTGATTTCTCACTAGTTAAAAACAGTAAAAAATTATACTCTTGAATTATTATCAGTAGTTTGTGAAAACATTGTATTGCAGTTTAAATTAATTGATTAACTCACCAGTGACTGCAGTAATGCTGACTCCACTGCTTCTGACGTTCTCAAACACAGAGTAGAGAGTGAATGTGTATTGAGTTCCAGCAGTGAGAGATGAGACTGTGTGATTCACTGGTCCATTTCCAGCTGGTGCACTGATGCTTGTCTCTGTACCATTAAACTGGAGAACAAAGCTGACATTGTTGTTGACTTTATTCCACTGCAGAGTGATGCTGGTTTCATTTTGTCCTGATGATATGAGGTTTTGTGCATTTGAAGGAGCTAAATGGAAAAATGAGAAAATAAAGTAAGTTTCAAAAATTCTTCAACATTGATTTCTCACTAGTTAAAAACAGTAAAAAATTATACTCTTGAATTATTATTAGTAGTTTGTGAAAACATTGTATTGCAGTTTAAATCAATTGATTAACTCACCAGTGACTGCAGTAATGCTGACTCCACTGCTTCTGACGTTCTCAAACACAGAGTAGAGAGTGAATGTGTATTGAGTTCCAGCAGTGAGAGATGAGACTGTGTGATTCACTGGTCCATTTCCAGCTGGTGCACTGATGCTTGTCTCTGTACCATTAAACTGGAGAACAAAGCTGACATTGTTGTTGACTTTATTCCACTGCAGAGTGATGCTGGTTTCATTTTGTCCTGATGATATGAGGTTTTGTGCATTTGAAGGAGCTAAATGAAAAAATGAGAAAAACAAGGTAAAATCAAAAATTTGTAGAAATTGATTTCTCGCCACTTAACAACACTGAAATTTGTTTTTATTTTTATCTTAATCAATGATATGTGAACCATTATAATGGAGTTTTAATAAATTGACTAAATTACCAGTGACTGCAGTAATGCTGACTCCACTGCTTCTGACGTTCTCAAACACAGAGTAGAGAGTGAATGTGTATTGAGTTCCAGCAGTGAGAGATGAGACTGTGTGATTTACTGGTCCATTTCCAGCTGGTGCACTGATGTTGTCTCTGTACCATTAAACTGGAGAACAAAGCTGACATTGTTGTTGACTTTATTCCACTGCAGAGTGATGCTGGTTTCATTTTGTCCTGATGATATGAGGTTTTGTGCATTTGAAGGAGCTAAATGAAAAAATGAGAAAAACAAGGTAAAATCAAAAATTTGTAGAAATTGATTTCTCGCCACTTAACAACACTGAAATTTGTTTTTATTTTTATCTTAATCAATGATATGTGAACCATTATAATGGAGTTTTAATAAATTGACTAAATTACCAGTGACTGCAGTAATGCTGACTCCACTGCTTCTGACGTTCTCAAACACAGAGTAGAGAGTGAATGTGTATTGAGTTCCAGCAGTGAGAGATGAGACTGTGTGATTTACTGGTCCATTTCCAGCTGGTGCACTGATGCTTGTCTCTGTACCATTAAACTGGAGAACAAAGCTGACATTGTTGTTGACTTTATTCCACTGCAGAGTGATGCTGGTTTCATTTTGTCCTGATGATATGAGGTTTTGTGCATTTGAAGGAGCTAAACGAAAAAATGAGAAAAATAAAGTAAGTTCAAAAAGTCTTTCGAATTGATTTTTCTCTTCTTAATAACACTTAATAATTTCATTGTTGATTTTAATCAAAAATATGTGATAACATTGTAATGCAGTTTAAATAATTTCATTAACTTACCAGTGACTGCAGTAATACTGACTCCAGAGCTTCTGACGTTCTCAAACACAGAGTAGAGAGTGAATGTGTATTGAGTTCCAGCAGTGAGAGATGAGACTGTGTGATTCAATGGTCCATTTCCAGCTGGTGCACTGATGCTTGTCTCTGTACCATTAAACTGGAGAACAAAGCTGACATTGTTGTTGACTTTATTCCACTGCAGAGTGATGCTGGTTTCATTTTGTCCTGATGATATGAGGTTTTGTGCATTTGAAGGAGCTAAATGGAAAAATGAGAAAATAAAGTAAGTTTCAAAAATTCTTCAAATTGATTTCTCACTAGTTAAAAACAGTAAAAAATTATACTTTTGAATTATTATTAGTAGTTTGTGAAAACATTGTATTGCAGTTTAAATCAATTGATTAACTCACCAGTGACTGCAGTAATGCTGACTCCACTGCTTCTGACGTTCTCAAACACAGAGTAGAGAGTGAATGTGTATTGAGTTCCAGCAGTGAGAGATGAGACTGTGTGATTTACTGGTCCATTTCCAGCTGGTGCACTGATGCTTGTCTCTGTACCATTAAACTGGAGAACAAAGCTGACATTGTTGTTGACTTTATTCCACTGCAGAGTGATGCTGATTTCATTTTGTCCTGATGATATGAGGTTTTGTGCATTTGAAGGAGCTAAATGAAAAAATGAGAAAAACAAGGTAAAATCAAAAATTTGTAGAAATTGATTTCTCGCCACTTAACAACACTGAAATTTGTTTTTATTTTTATCTTAATCAATGATATGTGAACCATTATAATGGAGTTTTAATAAATTGACTAAATTACCAGTGACTGCAGTAATGCTGACTCCACTGCTTCTGATGTTCTCAAACACAGAGTAGAGAGTGAATGTGTATTGAGTTCCAGCAGTGAGAGATGAGACTGTGTGATTTACTGGTCCATTTCCAGCTGGTGCACTGATGCTTGTCTCTGTACCATTAAACTGGAGAACAAAGCTGACATTGTTGTTGACTTTATTCCACTGCAGAGTGATGCTGGTTTCATTTTGTCCTGATGATATGAGGTTTTGTGCATTTGAAGGAGCTAAATGGAAAAATGAGAAAATAAAGTAAGTTTCAAAAATTCTTCAAAATTGATTTCTCACTAGTTAAAAACAGTCAAAAATTATACTTTTGAATTATTATCAGTATTTTTTGAAAATATTGTATTGCAGTTTAAATCAATTGATTAACTCACCAGTGACTGCAGTAATGCTGACTCCACTGCTTCTGATGTTCTCAAACACAGAGTAGAGAGTGAATGTGTATTGAGTTCCAGCAGTGAGAGATGAGACTGTGTGATTTACTGGTCCATTTCCAGCTGGTGCACTGATGCTTGTCTCTGTACCATTAAACTGGAGAACAAAGCTGACATTGTTGTTGACTTTATTCCACTGCAGAGTGATGCTGGTTTCATTTTGTCCTGATGATATGAGGTTTTGTGCATTTGAAGGAGCTAAACGAAAAAATGAGAAAAATAAAGTAAGTTCAAAAAGTCTTTAGAATTGATTTTTCTCTTCTTAATAACACTTAATAATTTCATTGTTGATTTTAATCAAAAATATGTGATAACATTGTAATGCAGTTTAAATAATTTCATTAACTTACCAGTGACTGCAGTAATACTGACTCCAGAGCTTCTGACGTTCTCAAACACAGAGTAGAGAGTGAATGTGTATTGAGTTCCAGCAGTGAGAGATGAGACTGTGTGATTCAATGGTCCATTTCCAGCTGGTGCACTGATGCTTGTCTCTGTACCATTAAACTGGAGAACAAAGCTGACATTGTTGTTGACTTTATTCCACTGCAGAGTGATGCTGGTTTCATTTTGTCCTGATGATATGAGGTTTTGTGCATTTGAAGGAGCTAAATGAAAAAATGAGAAAAACAAGGTAAGTTCAAAAATTCTTCAAAATTGATTTCTCGCCACTTAACAACACTGAAATTTGTTTTTATTTTTATCTTAATCAATGATATGTGAACCATTATAATGGAGTTTTAATAAATTGACTAAATTACCAGTGACTGCAGTAATGCTGACTCCACTGCTTCTGACGTTCTCAAACACAGAGTAGAGAGTGAATGTGTATTGAGTTCCAGCAGTGAGAGATGAGACTGTGTGATTTACTGGTCCATTTCCAGCTGGTGCACTGATGCTTGTCTCTGTACCATTAAACTGGAGAACAAAGCTGACATTGTTGTTGACTTTATTCCACTGCAGAGTGATGCTGGTTTCATTTTGTCCTGATGATATGAGGTTTTGTGCATTTGAAGGAGCTAAATGGAAAAATGAGAAAATAAAGTAAGTTTCAAAAATTCTTCAAAATTGATTTCTCACTAGTTAAAAACAGTAAAAAATTATACTCTTGAATTATTATCAGTAGTTTGTGAAAACATTGTATTGCAGTTTAAATCAATTGATTAACTCACCAGTGACTGCAGTAATGCTGACTCCACTGCTTCTGACGTTCTCAAACACAGAGTAGAGAGTGAATGTGTATTGAGTTCCAGCAGTGAGAGATGAGACTGTGTGATTTACTGGTCCATTTCCAGCTGGTGCACTGATGCTTGTCTCTGTACCATTAAACTGGAGAACAAAGCTGACA